TCCTGGGCCTCCCCCTCCTGGCGGGTCCCTTCCCGGGATCCCACCTCGGCATCATCCGTGTCATGGGGGGTGGAGGCAGTCGGAATAGAATCCATATCCGACGCACCTAGTGACCCGCTCGACGAAGCGGGAAGATCGTCCTTGGGCGGACTGCAGGGTTGTATGCGGCATTAGAAAGACAATGTGTGGCAAAAAAGAAAAAACATGAAGTTATTCGGGAGTCCGGATACTTACGATCTCGCCGGAGGCTTGGCCCTTGGAGGCCAGTCCTCGTCATCGTCACTGGCGTTGGCGGAGCAGTCCGGGGAAAGAGTTTTCCCCTTCTTGGACCCTTCGGCCTCCCCCGTAGGGGAAGCCTTCCTTTTCTTCCCTCCCCCTGCTGGGGGGGAGGCTTTCTTCTTCTCCTCCTCACCCTTGTGGTAGGAGTCGGCCTCGGAGTCATTGTCCGATAACACCTGAAAACGGGAACTCTTTCGAGTACCCGTGGCCCTCTTCTTGGCCTTCTTCTCCGGCACCACGTGGGGTGCCGGAGCCAGCAGCCCCGTCAAGCGGGCGTCCGCTGGGTCCTCTGGCAATGGGGTCGGACAGATAGCCTGTCCAGGCTTCTTCAGCCAGTCCTGTCAAAGGAAAGGGAGTTTAGATCCCACATAGAGTCAAACTATGGAAAACAAGCGTCCCTTAAAGGACAAAATCACTTACCTCATCAGCTGGACGTTCCAAGCTAATCCGCGATCTTCGGTAGCGGATGCGGGGGCCTCGGCGCCCTTGAACAGCACCTTCCAGACATCTTCGTACGTAGTGTCGAAAAGTTCGTTTAAAGTCTGGTGCTGCGCCGAATTGAACTCCCACATGTTGAAGCCCCGTCGTTGGCATGGGAGAATCTGGCGGATGAGCATGACCTGGACTACGTTGACGAGCTTGAGCTTCCTATCCACTAGCTTTTGGATGCAAGCTTGAAGTCCGGTCAGCTCCTCCGAATCACCCCATGTCCGGCCGCTCTCTTTCCAGGAGGTGAGCCGTGTGGGGATGCCGGATCTAAATTCGGGGGCCGCTGCCCATTCGGGGTCACGCGGCTCGGTGATGTAGAACCATCCTGATTGCCACCCCTTGATGGTTTCCACGAAAGTGCCCTCAAGCCAAGTAACATGGGACATCCTGCCCACCATGGCGCCTCCACACTCCGCTTGGCTGCCCTTCACAACCTTCGGCTTGACACTGAAGGTCTTGAGCCACAAGCCGAAGTGGGGCTAGATGCAGAGGAAGGCCTCACACACGACGATAAACGCCGAGATGTTGAGGATGAAATTCGGGGCCAAATCATGAAAATCCAGGCCGTAGTAGAACATGAGCCCCCGGACAAAGGGATGGAGTGGGAAGCCCAGTCCGCAGAGGAAATGGGGAAGGAATACTACCCTCTCATGGGGCTTGGGGTGGGGATGAGCTCTCCCTCGTTGGGGAGCCTGTGCGCGATGTCGCTGGACAAGTATCCGGCGCTGCGCAGCTTCTGGATCTGCCCCTCCGTGACGGAGGAGGCCATCCACTTGCCTCCCGCTCCGGACATAGTTGGAGGAGGTCGAGGTGAGATGTGCGGGCTTGGGCGCTGGAGCTCGGGTTCGCAGAGATGGATAAGCCAAGGAGGAAGAAGGCGCAGGTAACAGGGTTGGATCTTTATCCCCTTATATGGGCGAGCGAAAACATGTGTCCCCACCGGCCTGATAAAACTCGTTTATCCCCCAAGCGCCGCAATCAATGGCGCGGTTGGGTTACCCACGTCCGTATTGATGGGAATCCCGGAATAAGGAGAACACGATCTCTGTTTCGACAAGACGTGCCAAGGAAACCGCTTCGCTAAACGCGCTGAGGTGGTACAATAAAAATGATTTAAGTAAAGGCTTGGTAGTGGTGTGACGTCACACCATGAAGTACGTCAGCAGATTGAACTTGTGTAGATATTATTCTCTCTACGGTGGTATGTGGAAATTATTTTTGCAGAGCCGGACACTATCCTGGTGTTCACAATCTTCTATGAATTATTCGGAGGAAGAACCCGCCTTGCAATGCCGAAGACAATATGCGCGCCGGACTCGTCGTCATTGAAGCCTGGTTCAGGGGCTACTGAGGGAGTCCTGGACTAGGGGGTGTCCGGATAGCCGAACTATCATCATCGGCCGGACTCCAAGACTATGAAGATACAAGATTGAAGACTTCGTCCCGTGTCCGGATGGGACTTTTCTTGGCGTGGAAGGCAAGCTTGGTGATACGGATATGTAGATCTCCTACCATTGTAACCGACTCTGTGTAACCCTAGCCCTCTCCTGTGTCTATATAAACCAGATGGCTTTAGTCCGTAGGACGAACAACAATCATACCATAGGCTAGCTTCTAGGGTTTAGCCTCCTTGATCTCGTGGTAGATCTACTCTTGTAACACACATCATCAATATTAATCAAGCAGGATGTAGGGTTTTACCTCCATCAAGAGGGCCCGAACCTGGGTAAAAACATCGTGTCCCTCATCTCCTGTTACCATCCGCCTAGACGCACAGTTCGGGACCCCCTACCCGAGATCCGCCGGTTTTGACACCGACAGGAGGGCAGCGCTGACCGATGCGACCCCTTAGGAGCCGCCACATCAATGCAAACGCAGCTTCCTGAGAAACCAACTACGATCGTTGCGCCGCATTGAAGCGGCTGATGGGCCCTTAGCATGGCATGACCGCAGGAAATTTCAGCTGTGCGCCGATCATGCACAACCGCACTTCGTCCTCTCTGAACCCCTCCTCCTCTCCAAGCCTCTCCAACTCCAGCGTCGATGCCGAAGTCATGGATTCCACGCCGGCAGGCGGGGTCGATGGCGATGGCAGTTCATCATCAGGTGAATCTTGGTGTCGCTGTCGTTGCTCTCTATGACCCTCGACATCCATGGCGATCGTCATCTCCTCCGACATTCATGATGCTCGCCGTCACGAGTGAATAATTTCCGCATAGCCCAAGGTGACAATAATTGGGATTCTTTCGGGTGATTACCATAGTTTGAGGAGTTCATGTATTCACTATGTGTTAATGCTTTGCTCCGGTTCTCTATTTAGAGGAGGCCAAAATATCCCTTTGTTTCCTTATGGACCTCGCAGCCACGGGAGGGTAGGACAAAAGATGTCATGCAAATTCTTATCGCAAACACGTATGACTATATACGAAATACATGCCTACATTACATTGATGAATTGGAGCTTGTTCTGTGTCGCCCTAGCTTATAACTTTTACATGATGAATGTCATCCAGCATAATTATCCATAACCAATTCAATGCGTGCGAGCTTTTCACATATTGATATTTGCTAATTTACTACTATTGTTGTTGTTGTTACAATCGCTACAAAACTGCTACTGCTATTGTTACCGGTACTGTTGCTACTATTGCCACTGCTATCAAACTATCATGTTACTGTGCTACAAATCACTTTGCTGCAGATATTTAGTTCTACAAGTGTGGTTGAATTGACAACTCAACTGCTAATACTTGCAAATATTCTTTGACTCCTCTTGTATCAAATCAATAAATTTGGGTTGAATACTCTATCCTCGAAAACTGTTGTGATCACTTATACTTGTGGGTTATCACCGCGCTACTGCGTGAGGCGTGAGCCAGAATCCCCACTCCATGGGATGAAGGATGAGCGTGCCCCCCTACTCACATACATGCACCCGCGCACAACCGCGGCTGCGTCCAGATCGTGGGCCGCATAGGAAGGAGCTGGTGTCGCCCCCACACAACCGCGACGTCTAGATCAAACGACACATCAAAGACGAGCCTGCGTCACCGCTGGTGCATTGCTGGTGCGCCCACATTGCCGGCCCGCATCGCCTCCCCGCCGCCCGATCCTATCAAGGAGGAGCTGCCATCCGCGATCATGAAGGCGCGGGGCTGCATCCACCACCACCTCAGAGTCGACAGTGTTGGAGTTGGAGTTGGAGTTGCCCAGACTAATTAACCAATGTAATATTACATGGTGTGTAACCAATCCGATGTCAGATCTTTAGTCATGGCAAATCGAATGTTTGTTAGGACAATTTATATTTGCGTGAGGATAACAAATTTAATTTGTAAGCACAGTAATTTCCTTAGACAGAATGAATTAAAATGAATTTACCATGTTTATAACTAAAATTACCATCCACGACGAACACAAGTTGCCACGAAAACAGTTCGTTTTGTCATATTTAAATATCTGATGTTCAGTGGACATCCGGGTCCACAAACAACATCTGTTTTTTATAAAGCTGATTTTTTTAACACGGTGCAGACACAAGCGATTATATACACGTATATACATTCACCCTTATGAACGCACACACGCACACCCTATTTCATTGAGCACCTCTGAAAGACTGAACCGGCATATCATCTTGAAATTTACGAAGTCATCGTAGGCACCTAGTCGTCGACGGAAACGTCTCCTCCCACCGAATATGCATAGCTGGAAATCCTGAAATAAATCCAAGAATAAATGCGAGCACCAAGACTTGAACCATGATGGGCTAGGATACCATGGTCCCTCTAACCATCCACCCACATATTGGTTCGTTTTTACAAAGCTGATTTGGTGCATACCTTTCACGGATAAAGTACCCATGCATGCACAGTTGAACGGAATTCATTGCAATTTGCAGACAAATTTTAATATCGATCACAGGAGCATTCGCGATCGATCATATCGAGCCTTGTTTTGTAGATAGATGAACATAATCGCCATAAACTTAGAAGATAATAATGATTGATGATCCATATGTTTGGGCTACTAGTTTCGGCCATCCAAAAATAAACGAGCATATTGGCCAAAGTACTACTGTTACAGTTTACAGTATTACTAGTACATCACTAGCGCGATCGAACTATAGCTCAGGAGGAGTACATGCATGGATGGATTGCTAGTCCCCTACTACTGTACATGCATCAATGGTACAAGTACAAGGCGGCCGGCCGGGGCGCCGGCCCGGCGGATCAGAAGGACGGCACGACGCCGTAGCCGAAGTCGAGCAAGTAGGAGGTGGAAGACGGCACCGCATGGGCCTCCGCGTCCAAGTCGTCGCCGTCGGCGTCCTGGTCGGTGCGCTTGGCGAAGCGGCCCTTGACGCGCGGCCGCGACTCGGCGTAGGCCTTCCTGGACGCGTACCGGATGGTCTTCTCGAACCGGCGGTTCTTCCTCTTCTCCCGGTACCGCATCAGCCTCGCCACCCGGCCCTCCCCGGTCACCGCCACCGGACGCTCCGGCACCGTCAAGTATCCCATGTCCACCGGCGACGCCTGCTGCATGCCCACGCCGTGGCTCGGCGGCGCCGCGGTGTACGCGGGCATGTACGCCTGCGGCTTGGGCCTGGTGAAGTCGATCTCTAAGCTCCCGACGCCGCCGCAGATGGCCTCCGGCACCACGCCGACCTCCGATGAAGAGCCCTGAAAAATTATAGCCCTCTCGATCGATCAGCAAGTTGGTCTACGTACGGCAAGCAAGAAGGCGATCGGTTCGCGCCAAGGCAAAGACGAGGCGACTAACGCTGTGCGCGCCGGAGGCGTTGGCCGTGTACGAGGAGCTGTAGGTCGGCGGCGGCTTGGCGGGGATCCCGCACGCGAAGTCCAGGTCCACGACGGCGGGTACCGCGGCGGTGGCGACCCCGCTGGGCACGACGCTGTCAGCGTGGGCGAAGCGCGTAAAGTCGACGGCGAGGTAGGGGTCGACGAGGTCGGAGAAGAGGTAGTCCATCTTCCCGCCCTCCTTGCCGGCCTCCACGTTGAGGTTCAGCATGCCCCCGTGCTGGCGCAGCTGCTCGGGCACCTCGTCCTGATCCGCCCTGGCCTCCCCGTCACCGGCGCCGCAGAACATCATGGCCTCGGCCGCCACCGCGGCGGCCTCGGGGGAGCCGATGGGCGCGATGGGCACGCGCACGTGGCGCTCGGCGAGCGGGTTGGCGTGGTGGATGTCGGCGTCGCACGCGGCGCAGAGCACGGCGGCGTCGGCCTTGCACGTGACGGCCGCGGGGCTGACCTCGCAGACCTCGCACACCCAGACGCGCTCGTGTCCCGCCCGCGCGTGCGCCGGGCGCGCGTCGCACCCCGTGCACAGGTACCCGGCGCAGTCCCGGCAGTGTACCGCCGCCGGCGCCGCCCCTTCGCACGCCCCGCACCGCCTGCCCCCCACACCCCAGTACTTGCGCAGCTCCATCATAACTAGCTAGCACCCCTGCACGTCCTCTTAGCTCCGACAGGCAATGGCGGGTGCACGCGGTGGTGGTAGTGGGAGAGGAAGAGTGATTGATCTGAGGTGAGGGAGGTGGTGGGGGAGGAGGCAGTAGATGTAATAGTGGGTGGGGGAGGGAGACGTGGCCGGAGCGGGGCACGTGGTAGGTTCCGAGCCAAGCGATGGGTTGATGCCGATATGATACAGTGGGGATTTTGGCGGGGATTTGGTGCATGTGAAAGACGGGGAGACATCGCCGTCGGCGGGCTGGCTGCTGGCTTGGTGCTCGGTGGGTTGGCTTGGCTTTTCGGGGGAGGCAACCGATACCGGGGTACTAATCCCATCTTATCATGTCCTCGTCGATGCTCACGGTGATGCCGGACTGGTATCCGTGAACTGTGATGCCATCGCCGGGGAGGCAACCGACGAGATCGCCATGCCGAGCCGGCCTGGGTGCGCGCGTAGGCCACACGTCCGGGACGCGGGGCTAGCTGATTTTGCTACCACGGGTCATACGCGCGCGTCCGGGATGTAACGTTGAACGTACTATGAATCTGGTTTGTCCGTGCCGACGTGGTATATGCCCCCGTACGTAGTACACAAGTATCGATTCCGACTGGTGGGCCGGCATGGCACATGATGCATGATTGCACCGTCGTATTCGTATCTCTCCGAAATTTCCTTTGACCCCCATCTGTATCATGGCACCCAATGCTTTGTACGAAGCATTAGCCTTTTTCTTGGAGAAAAAGGAAAATTCCATGATACCCGCAATCAAAAACCAGTACAAATACGTTGCAAAAGCCTAGTGGCTAAAAGTTCGACAGGCCACGAAAAAGATGGACGTATGCCACGTACCCTATGTTGTACTGTACTTCCTCTATAAAGACATTTTGCAACACTATTTCTACACTTCAAACTTCATTTTCTTACATGGGCCACAAAAAAAATTATTTTTACATACATGTTCATTTCTCTTTGTTAACTTTCAACACTCGGAATGATAGCCCATTTTCACCCAAAAACACTTGCTTTCAGCCTTTGTTTCGGCTGCACGTTTGAACACCCGGCCCACTTGGTCATACAAAAATAAATAACCATCACCAGCAGGCCCTCCATATGCGCCCATGTTTCCAATGCTACAAATAGCTTGTTCCTCAAAAGTTTTGTGCCAAAGGAAAGCATCTCCCGAACCGTTTGGATCCTAGATTACTCCTTATAGTACCATTACCCTGACATAGCCTATTGTCTAAAGTCAAAATGTATCATAAATAAGGGCGGCCACGGGATCCTCAGTGCTCATCACGAAGAGCAGTGCTACGCAGCCGACGATATTGCAGCCGATGCATGCACGACGGTAGGTAATCACCGTTAGATTAAATCCCTGCATGATTACGGGACGTAAGATCCTACTATCGTCCACAGGTCGTCCATCAGATATCGTGTGTGAAGCTATTCCGCATCACGAAAGGCTCTCTGAAAGCAACCTCTTTTGCTGGTCCTCGGGGCCACCCAATAATTCCCAAAAGCTGGAAAGAGACAAGGATTGGCTTTATGGTTCTGACGCCGTCCGCCGCACCGTTTAGGGGATTAGCCATTTTAATTAGCGGATCGATTCGATGCGTATCAACGTCACGCCAGCTCTATCGGCCACCTAAAACTGGCCTTGCTGGCGAGGAATTGCCCGAAATGCCCTCCCGTAGCCCGAGCCTATCCGAACTGTAGAAAGCAACCGCCGGAAAATGGCTTGGTACCTGTGTTGTGGAAAACGTTTGTTCGGATCTCGTTGCACACGCTTTCAGCAAAGGGGTTGCATTGTACACACGTTGCTTGTAGGCCTTATCATGAATTGCTGGGATTTGTTTTTTGTTTTGTTTCACATCACAACAAACGTCCCTTGCAAAACCATGTCGGGGGCAGACCTCCCTTGCTTCAGTCCTCCATGGTGATAAAAATGTTGCTTTGGGTCTGAAAAATTGTTTGGGAATTTGAAACTGAAAAGTTATCATGAATTGGGGAAAACTTCCAAAATACAAAATTATAGCTGGATTAAAATGACATCATTCTTTAAATGGTGCTTGCACCAGATGCCGGCGGTGGACCGGGGTCGACGGCGTGTGTGCTCCATGTCCTCACCAACCCAACTAGTTATACTAGTGTTCCTGAACTGTTTTTGGTCAAACTTTGCTATGTCTAATATTTGTTACTATATCTCGAACAGTATGGTTTTATATTTGAACCATTTATTGGATGATATTTATGTCTTTGGATTATATCTGTAAGTTCTGTTACCGATTGTACCTCCAAACTGGAGCGTGACCCCGAGGATGACAAATTGTAAGAGCATATATAGCCGGGCGCTCTAAACGCGCCTCAAACGACCGGGCGGGCTGACCAGTCCCTAACCTGTCACAAAAAGTTGACCCACCCGAACCCCTCAAACCGTTCTCAAACGCCCGGGCTATCCGGCGTCCATCATATCCAGTCAAATGTAGGGCGGATATAGGGCGCGTCCGCCACGTCGGAGCTGACATGCCCGGTCCATCATCGACCCCACGGCTGTTCCACAAAAAAAAAAACCATCCCGCTCCTCACTCGGAACCCTAGCTTCAGTCATTCCCCTCTCTCACTCCGTCCTCTCCTCTCCCCTCTCCGATTTTCATCCACTCTGGCATAACACCGAGCTCTGGCAGCCACTCCGTCACCGACCTCGACGCTAACGAGGAGTTGGCCCTCTGCATTGCATTGGAGCGGTCTAAGATGGACACTGATGGCGGCTCCGGATCTGCAGCGTCACCGCTACGTGGACGCGGCTAGAGCTAGGCCCTTCCAGCCCGCGCGTAGCTCCGCCACGGCAACACCATCCGCTCCGCCCCCACGTCGTCCCCTTTCCCCACTGACATCTGCTCTGTGAGGGCAGTGGTGGGTGCTAGTGCCCGCGTCGTCGGCCCAAACGCACACTCCGGAATCGAAGGCACGTGCCGACCGCCGCGAGAGGCAGCGGACGAGGGAGAGGGACACGGCGGAGGTTTCTGTGCGTCGTCGCCATGGGATGCCGGCGGAGCCCGACGAGGACCAGCGGCTCCTTGCTTGGGTCTACCATCGGTCGCTCACGATGGCGAAGACACATGCTGGTCACCTCCAGCGAAAGAATGCAAAGGCGCTCCGGCTAGCCATAGAGCAGTCATAGAGCGAGGCGAAGGAGGCAACGGAGAGGCGGCTCGGCTCGCCAAGTAGAAGCGGTAGTAGGACATGGTCGTCTGCCGGATGAAGGGCTTGATCGTCCTCTCAGACTCTGACTCCAAGAACGGCGACGACCACAGCTCCACCTCCGCCTCCGACGACCGAGATCCTCCACCAGTTGCGGACGCCTACAGCTATGCCGACGACCAGAAGGAAAAGTCCCGGGGAGGAAGTGGTGAATAAGCTCTTCCTATGGATATAGGGTGCTTACTATGGATATAGGGTGCCGGATATGAGGTACACGAATGTAGAGAGGAAAATTTGAGACGTGGCCGGTCAGTGCCCGCGAACGCGCCTGGAAGCGTCTGCGGGTGTTTGAGGAGTTGGATTTGCTATCCGCGGTTGTAGATGCTCTAATATCATTGGCAAATGGAGGCACACACAGCACATGAGCGCCGCGAGGTGACTCGTGTTCCGGGAGTACTGTGTGTGGCATGCTCGCTCAACATACAAACTCCATGAAATATGGTTTGAGGATCACACATGTTCAGTAAGTGTTATTGAGTTGCTCCAGTGATATCGAGAAGGGACCACTATAATTATTATTTTTATATTCGAGGTCACATGCAGAGGTAGAATAATAGACGAACGATTCATATGTAGGTACACCTGACCACATACGGAAACACATGCTTACATGATGTAAATATGCACTATGGTGTGTTTAATATTATCCAAGAAACACCTCAATATACACTTCCGTGCATGCTATTTCAAAATTTTCATCTCTAGTTTACTATTTGTTATTCGGCTAACACATGTTAATCATCGATCCCTCTAAAGATTCTACAGTTACAAATATAATCACAACTCTATTACATTCACATGAGAAGCAATGACCAAAATACCCTAAGGTAGCTTGAGCCTATCCAAACCAGAAAGCAACTGCTGGGAAATGGCTTGGCACCTGTTGTGGGAAACGTTTATTCGGGTTACATTGTTGTACATGCTTTTAGAGAAGGGTTGCATTGTACATGCAGTCCTCCCATATCTTATCATTTCAAATTTGTACTTTGTTTTTGACATGACAATAAATTCTTTTGCTTTAGTCCTCGAATGTGACCAAAAAATGTAGCACTGGGTCCAAAAGTTTGGTTGGAATGTGAAACTCAATTTTAACAAGAATTTGGAGAACTTCTTAAATTCAAGCTTCTAGCTGGATTCAACTAACATCATTTTGATTGTAAAATGATGCTTGCACGTAATTCAAATGGTGGTGGATCGAGAGTTAATGGCATGTGCACTCCATGTTCACCGACCCAACTAGTTCCATTTTTGTTCTAGAACTTTTTTGGTGCAAATTTACTATTTTTAATGCATGTTACTATAGCTTGGTTGTATGACTTTAGATTTGAATCACTCCTGTCATCATATTTTATGTCTTTGGATTATATTTGGAAGTTGTATTAACGACTATAACTGCAAACTTGCTACTGTAGGCATGCTTGAATATAATTGGGGAGAACTATGGTTTGAGGATTATATATGTTTATTAATTGTTAATGTGTTGCCCGGGTGATCTCTTAAAAGTATCACCAACATAATTTTTATATATTGGCAGTCACAAACATGCTGAACAATAGATAAATCATAGATATATAGATACATCTTACATCATATGGAACACATACCTACATTAGAGAGAAGATGAACTTTGAATGATTAATATAATTAAATATGCACTATTAAGTACTTGATATTATTCGACACCTAATTATACACTCATGTGTATTCTATTTTAATAA